ACAACTTCAGTCACGAGAGACAAACGTCATTCTGCAAATGTCCAAGGTTTTAATCGCAGAGGGCTTGGGCTACAACTTACTGAGCGTCAGTCAGTTGATGGCGAAAGGCATTCATCTCGAGGCAGACAGCACAACTCAGGAGTTTAAGCTGTACCACGGGAGAGGAGGCCTCTACATCGGGAAGGCGGTCCTCAAGAACAACGTCTTCGTTCTTGACTTCGTTCCCGATCTTGGAACGGCCGACAGTGACGCCATCGTTAACTTCACAAACTTGACACACCCTCCAGATCTCGATCCAGACTGTAGTCCGGGCGGCTTCTGGTACTCACACACCATCCCTGAAACAGAGAGAACAAGAGCGTTAGCGACGATTCAACAATCGGCAGCAGCAGAGACAACATCAGCAGCAGCAGAGACAACATCAGCAGCAGCAGAGACAACATCAGCAGCAGCAGAGACAACATCGGCAGCAGCAGAGACAACATCGGCAGCAGCAGAAACAACGACAATAGCAGTAGGAACATCAACACCCGTTGCCGGTCCTTCAACGGCACCACCCTTCGTCGACGATACACCACCAACACCCGCACAGCAACTTCAACCAGCGCCGAGAGAAGTTCACCGCAGCGCCAACTTCACCGCCGGCTTCTACTCCAACTCCGACATGTACCGACGCTCACCCGGGCACCGCGCCTCCGAAGGAACCTGGCACGGAAGAATGGGACATCCGAGTCACACCGTGTTAAACAATACAATCAGAGTAGGAGTGCTCGACAAGGACTCACTCCTACTAACCGACGGCAGAGAACTTCAGCGAGCTCGAGGAACATGCTTCACCTGCCCTGAAGCAGACCTAGCACGACAACCGTTTCCATCTCACCACAATCCAAGCGCACCAGCTTACGCACCACTCGAAAAGGTGTACAGCGACATCTTGTACAACCGCGAACCTGGACAAAACACCTACAACTACACAATCACCTTCATTGACGCCGCTACCAGATACGTCTGGCACCTGAATCTTCCCAGCCGCGACATGGCCTTCGAAGCCTTCGTCGCCTGGCTCCCTGCAGCAGAAAGAGAATCGGGCGTAAAACTGAAAAGCTTCCAGTCAGACGGAGGAGGAGAATACACCTCACAGAGGTTCAAGGACTACTTGGCAGAGAGGGGAATCAAGCGACTCATCTCTCTTCCCTACGCCCATCAACAGCAAGGTGTAGCAGAAAGGATGAACAGGACACTTCAAGCCACCATGCGCAAGCTGCTACGTGGCATGCATCTGCCCAACCACCAGTGGCCCGAGGCAATGGACCACGCCGTGATGCTGCACAACCTGCTCTCGTCATCATCGCTTCCGAACAACGCATCACCGCATCTGCTGTGGACAGGAAAATTGGGCAGCACAAAAATGTTACGGGTTTTTGGGTGCATGGTACAGTACCGACCACCATCTGCACGCGCCGGTCGATTCTCCCAACGAGCACAGTGGGGAGTACACCTGGGCATCGAAAAACACCACAACGCATGGAAAATCTTCGACATCAACAGCAAGGAAACAGTAGCAGCACGTGATGTTATCTTCTACGAGAACCTCACCCTCGACGTTCATCTTGCGTACGTTAGAGCAAACAGACCTGATCCCTCAGGCGGATTCATTGGCACCCGAGCCTTCGCCTCGGCAGAAGACGAAGCTGACTGGGATGAGCAGAACGTGGACGGAGCCTCGGAAGAAGCCGGACCACTACCGTACTGCTGGGTAGACGTACCAATGGACGACGACAACCCTCGCGAAAGCATCAACGCCGAAGTCTTCTACAAGTTCGCCGACGACGGTTACGTTACACCCGAACAAGTCAACACCAACGAAGCAGAACGTGTAGGGCCCAATTTCGCACCTGACCCAGAAGCTGGAGACGAAGCAGTCTATCCCGAGGACACCACACTCCCCCGCTACACACAGAGTGGACTCCAAATCCTTGGACTCGTCACCGCAGTCCACGGCGCCGCCATTCCTAAGGAGCCTGCAACGGTTCAGCAGGCTCTGGGGGGGGAGCACAAGGAAAAATGGCGCGAAGCCATGGACAAGGAACTGAAGGCATTAGAGGAACGCAACACCTGGAAGGTCGTTCCTATCGGCGTAGCACGAAACAAGACTATACTCACCGGAAAATGGGTCTTCCGAGTGAAGACGAAAGCAGACGGCACCATCGACAAGTTCAAAGCACGCTGGGTCGTACGCGGCTTCGACCAAGAGCACGGGCGCGACTTCACCGAAACCTTCGCTCCGGTCAGCCGCCACACCTCGCTCTGAATTCTCCTCGCGATCGCCGCCATGAAGAAGAAGAAACTGCGGCAAATCGACGTCGCGAACGCGTTTCTCTACGCACTCGTCGAACTACCGCACGGCTCCTACGGAGAACCCAACCAAGTCTGCCAGCTGCTCAAGTCGCTCTACGGCATCAAGCAGGCTCCGCGACTGTGGCAACAGTACCTGCACGCTCGCCTCATCCGCATCGGCTTCAAGCAACTCCCGCACGACCAAGGCATGTACCGACTCACGAAGAATAACGACTACGTCCTGCTAATCGTTTACGTGGACGATCTCCTCTACATCGGGTCAACTGACGGCATCACCACCTGGTTCGAAGGGGAGCTACAGCAAGACCTCACACTCACGGTCTCGCCTACCGTCACTCAGTACCTCGGCCTCAACATCCGAGAAGAAGAGGACGCAATCTACCTCAGCGCCGAGAAGTACGCCGACACCATCGCCAAGCGCTCCGGTCTCACACCAGCCACGATCTCCACGCCATATCGCTACACGACAGGATCCGACAAGGGAAGATCCACCATACTCAAACCCGCCGGAATACGCGACTATCAGAGGAAGCTAGGATGCCTCCTCTTCGCAGCTGTCACCTGCCGTCCCGACCTCTCATACTCCGCAAGCCAGCTCGCTACCTACCTCAAGAAGCCCGAAACAGAACACCTGGCGGAGCTCGACCGCGCTCTTCACTACTTCATCAGCACCCCGACGATCGGCCTGACCTACCACAAGAACGCAACTACACCAACTAAGCTAATCGGCTACGTCGACGCCGATCACGCCGGCGACTCCGACAACAGGCGCTCACGCACCGGCTATGTCTACCGCCTCGAACCTATCGGTCCTATCTCCTGGCAGTCGAGCAAGCAGGAATTAATCGCGCTATCCTCAGCTGAAGCAGAGTACATCGCACTCTGCTCAGCCACCAAGGAAGGACTTTACCTTCGCGAGCTGCTGGAAGAAGCGAAGTTGGCCGAGTTACCCAACTTCACCCTGTTCTGCGACAATCAATCGGCAATTCGCATCGCCAATAAGAACGGCTTCGCGAACAGGACGAAACACATCGCCCTACGATACTTCTTCGTGAAGGACGAGATCGAGAAGGGGAGACTTCAGCTGTCATACTGTCCCACGTCCGAGATGGCAGCCGATTATTTGACCAAGAAACTCGGAAAGCAGAAATTCGAGTACTGCATGCTGCTGACTGGACAAAGCCACGTCATCAAGAGCGACACTCCAGAAGCGAAGGGGAGTGTTGGAAACAGTGAAACTTAAGCGCTTCAGTCGTGTCGAAACATCGCACCAGAAGTGAAGAAAACAATACCGAAGCAAGCGCGAGTCAACCCTCGGAGGTTGAGAGGTTGCTGGAGGTTACGCGAAAGTCAAAGGTCAAGCGACCTTTGACCTGACAAGTGCAGCGCGACAGTTAAGGACACACAACTGACTCGTTACAGAGCAGTTGCCCGAGTCGTACTGTATCGAACCGCAACAGCAACAGTAAATTAGTTATAACCGTATCCTTTTGTATTCCCTGTACTATTATATATTCTTGTATCTCTTTGCTATAATCAACTTACTTTGCCCTCACATACCAGCGCAAGGTGGTTCACAAGTTCTTCATTAAACGCTTCCGCTACTACATAGTTTCTACCAGAGTTCACCCCTGAAAAGATCCTAAGGGCTTAGCCCAACACCCCTTTCACTAACCCCCATTCCCAATCGCGCAGGTACAAGTCCCAGCACAATGCCCAGGGTTTAATGCATGAAGTGTAGCAGGGATAAAACATTACATTTTCTAGCTGTCTTGTTCGTGTTGATCTCTTGAAATGTAACTCTCTCTGTTGCACTTTTTTGTGGTGGTCGTGTGCATGGCTGCTCCTTCTAAGCTCAGGGTTTGTTTGCATTACCGTGTAACAAAACATCCGACATCAATACATGGCATGGCTAGTCAGTGGTACGATCAAACACCAACAAGTCACCACAGCCAGATGCAAGGCCTGACCAAACACAAACCTGGAAATAAGATGTGACATGGCTGAGTATATACAAGATAGAGTATGCAGAGGACAGAGTGAGCAGGGTGTGTAAGTGAGCCGGGCGCGGGCATGGCAAGGTTCCCCATGGCAGCTGAGCACACACACACCGGGGTTTCCAGTGGAGGGGGGGGGATGGGAGGGGAGAGGGGGAAGGTGGTGCAAATGATTACACAAACACGTGCAGCAGCACGGCACCGCACCGCATGGCACAACACAATGTCTGGCACCAGCAGCAGCAGCAGCAGCAGCAGCAGCTTCACATAGTGCAAGGGCCAGCCATGTATCTCACGATTTCTCACGCAAGCTTGTGACCCGGGCGCGAGGAGAAGCGTGGCTGTGGCATGTGCTGCTTGTTTGGAAGGGGTTCGGGATGAGAGGGGGAGGGGAGAGGCAAGAGGCGTGAGGAGAGTGGTAAAATGAAATATAGCCTGCTCACGCTCCCAGCACCTTATAAGGGGGTGGAGGCGAGAGGGAGGGGTTGGCGAGTAGGGGGAAGTTGTGGACCGGGGAAGGGGCGGATAGGTGATTAGTGCATGGTGAACAATGCATGAGGCATGGGGTGGCATGGTGTATGGTGCATTGGGCATATCGTTTTGAGCATGTTGAACAGCATTGGATAGGCCGAGCATGCGGCAAGGTCATGTGCAGGGAGACGGGCTGAGAGGGAAAGGAGGAGAGGGGCTGAGAGGGAAAGGAGGAGAGGGGCTGAGAGGGAAAGGAGGAGAGGGGCTGAGAGGGAAAGGAGGAGAGGGGCTGAGAGGGAAAGGAGGAGAGGGGCTGAGAGAGAAAGGAGGAGAGGGGCTGAGAGGGAAAGGAGGAGAGGGGCTGAGAGAGAAAGGAGGAGAGGGGCTGAGAGGGAAAGGAGGAGAGGGGCTGAGAGGGAAAGGAGGAGAGGGGCTGAGAGAGAAAGGAGGAGAGGGGCTGAGAGGGAAAGGAGGAGAGGGGCTGAGAGGGAAAGGAGGAGAGGGGCTGAGAGGGAAAGGAGAAGAGGGGCTGAGAGGGAAAGGAGAGAAGGGGCCAGCAGAGAGGGAAGGGAAGAGAGTCGAATAGAGAGGGACAGCGAGGGAGGGAAGGAGAGGCGAAGAGGGGGAAGGGAAGAAATCAGAAGAAATGGAGTAAGGGGGGAGGGGGAAAGCAGATTGTAGGGAAAGGGGGACACCGCATAGGGACGGAGGGTAAAACAGCGGGAGCGGGAGTGGAAGCTTGGAGAGAGATAGAAAAGAGAGGTGACTGGAGGGTGGGAAGAGAGGGAAGGAGCAGAGGTAGCATGTCAATTCTGCAACGATAACCAAATGGGTGTCAGAGGGAAGGGAGGATTGGGGATGAGAAGGAAAGGATGAGAGGGGTATAGAAGGACGGGAGGAGATGGGCATGGAGTGATGTAAACTACAGGTAAAACAAGGGGGGAGGGGCAAAGGAGCAGGAAATGGAGGGGCGGGCCTGGGGGGTAGGGAGGGGCCGAAGGGGGTAACAGAGGAAGAGCCAGGGGGGAATGGAGGGGCGGGCAAAGGGGATACGGGGGAAAGCCCAAGGGGGAAACAGTGAGAAAGGAAAAGGGGTGAATGGAGGGAAATGGGCAAGGGGGAAATGGAGTAGGGGAAAGAGAACACTGGACGGAAATGGAAAGCAAAGGGAGAGGGGCAAAGGGAGGAGCGCAGAGGGAAGGAAGGGAGGAAGCTAGAGAGACGGGCGGTGCAATGGGGAGGGGAAGCAAGATGACAAGCAGGAAGAACGAGGACGTGGGGCAGAGGCAACGTGGGCGACATTCAGAGAAAGCGAGGGCGGCGGGCAAGCGTAACGAGCGCGACGGGGAGGGGAAGGGAGCACGACGGGGAGGGGAAGGGAGCACGACGGGGAGGGGAAGGGAGCACGACGGTAAGGGGAAGGGAGCACGACGGTAAGGGGAAGGGAGCACGACGGGGAGGGGAAGGGATCACGACGGGGAGGGGAAGGGATCACGACGGGGAGGGGAAGGGAGCGCGACGGGGAGGGGAAGGGAGCGCGACGGGGAGGGGAAGGGAGCGCGACGGGGAGGGGAAGGGAGCGCGACGGGGAGGGGAAGGGAGCGCGACGGGGGGAGGGGAAGGGAGCACGATGGGGAGGGGAAGACGCGGAGAAGCGCATGCAGGCACCGATGGCAGAGCCATTTGACTGAAAAGATGCGGTCCAGGCAGGGGAAGAGAAACCGTGGTGTGAAGACATACGGGAGTTCCGCGCCTTACAAGGTGAGCGCGGGACGAGAATGAGCGAGCGACGGAGTGATTCCCTCGCGGGAGTTCATGAGCGACGGGAGTGAGTGAGCGCGGGACGAATATCTCAGCAACGGGACGCATTTTGGCACGGGAGGGCGTGAGTGGCGAGAGTGAGTGTGCGGAACGGGAGTGAATGTCACATTCGAGTGTGTGTGCGACTGGACCTGAGGCAAGGCGATTGCCCTGTGTGGGCGGTGGGATCGTTCGAGCGACGGGGGGAGTGCGCGATGGATCTAGTGAGAGATGCGAATGAGGGACGGATGACGAGCGGCGGAGAGGGAAGGGAGGCACGGGAGGGAGGCGCGCTACAGCAGGAGCGAATGCGAGACGGAAGCGAGGCGCGGGACGGAAGGGACGGAGGGTGCTGGGCGACGGCAGGGATGGGGGTGGACTGGACGATGGACGGAAGGCACGACCGGGACGGGAGTGACGGGCGCGGCGACTACGACAGACGCGACGAGGGCGACGGGAGGAGCGGGATCGACGAGAGCCAGAGGCGAGACGGGACCTACGAGTGCAACTGGAGTAGCGGGTGAGGCGGGACGACGGATTAGATGGTGTGTGAGATATATTTGCGAGTACCGCGAGAGATCCGATGAATTGGGCGTTAGCGGGTGACGGTGGAGACCTATACTATGCAAACCGACGGACGTCACAATACAAAACTTTGGGTGTCGCCAGCAGTAGTTATCGGTAGCGGACGATATCGTGGGCTACTGAGCCTACTAATCAACGAGTCTAGAAAGGTAGCTTCAAGCTTCAAGTTTTGGAAACTGTGAACAGTGGCCCCGGTTCTTGTTTGTTTTCGCGAGTGTCAACGGTGGTGTTGCAGTTGTGCTTTTGGCCAATCATATTACTGCGCTTCAAACACCTTCAAAGTGGGTCGCGAGAGAGCCACCCACAAAGGCGGGTTACCGTGTTCACTGGCGAAATCATGTTCAAGAATCTTGAACTTGAACCTTTGCCATTCTAGACTCGGGCTTTAAGCTTCTTGTTCATTAATAGCTCATGCTATGGGACGATGGGCCAACTTGTAGAGGCTGTCACGGTCAGGGCCCTCGATATCAGGGTAGAACACCCTGATTACCCTGATTTCAGGATGATGTTATGAGTTTGCCCTGCAATTTCAGGATGTTGCTGAAATTTACCTTGTGATGTCAGGATGGTTTTAATGTTCTGCCCTGAAATTTCAGGAAGGCCTTGAATTTTTGCCCTGAAGCATTAGGATGAATCTAGAGGGATGCCCTGACTCGTGGAAAGGGGAAGAAGGGGTGGGAAGGGGGAGGGGGGTAGGGGGAGAGGGGAGGAAGGATGTGGGGGGGTGTGTTTGCTGGTTCTGTTCCCCACGAAGTTTTTGCATAGCTAGTTGTTGTAATGAAACCACTAGGCAAGCCTCTCTTGTCCCTTCATCTCAACCACTTTCGTGCCTTGTAACTTTTGCCCTGAAAGATCAGGATGCATTCCTTGTGGTGCCCTGAAAATTCAGGATGGCCACGAAATTTCGCCCTGAAAAATCAGGGCATTTTGGAGAGTTTTCAAAAGTTGCCCTGAGGGCTCAGGATGCTCTAAATCCTAGCACAGGCCCTGGTCACGGTATTGCAACTGACATGCAGCACAACGGTTCCTTCACATCTATTTCCCTACCATCTAAAAAATTGTGTCAAGCCTGACAACAAGTCATTTACAGCACATCGCTAGCGCGTCCCTAGAACAAACAAACCCAGCACAGCACACCCACTCCCTAACCCAAACCCGTCTAGTTAACCTTGGCATACTTGGCTGGGGCATAGGGCTTCCACCAGGTGGGCTCGTATTTAGGGTAGGGCGCGACCCAGTTGGCGGGCTTGGGGAAGGAGATGTCAAAGGGCTTGCCCTCCAATGCGTCGTCCTGTGAGCTCGCCTCGAACTCGCCCTTGAGTACGCGGTCCAGGCGCAGCTTCATGAACCTGACACCCATACGGTCGTGGATTCCAAACAGAAAAGCAAACGGTTTTGATTTGACTCGCAGTATGGGTGACAGGGAGGGAGCGGGGAGGGAAAAGTTCAGAGAACGAGGACGCAGGATTATGATGGGGGAGCACGGGAATACGAAAGGAGGAAACGAGGGAGAAAAAAAAATGGAGATGATAAATGAGGAAAGAGACAAAACCAAGATGTGGAAAATGTTTGTAAAGCGAGGCAAGGCAAGCATCTACAGCAGCGACAGTGGCCGAGAGACACCCATTTAAAACGGGTCCGGATTTGACAAGCGGAGGTTCAGAAGTTTTTGTTCTGAACCAGGCTGGCAAAAACCTGGATTTCGTGCGGACACTTTTCCTCCGCAGTAACTGTTCGCCAGGGTTTAGGGTTTCGGGTGGCAAATGTGCACCGTCGCTTTAACCGCTGAGGTAACAGAACATTTGTTCCAATGTCACAAGAAAGAGTCGTTTTGCTTCAATGGGTACAGTTCCTAGAATGCGGCTCAGTTGCAATGGATTCGAAATGTATCCCGTTGTTTACGGGACCCAGATGTCCCACGGGTTAAGGACGAGCGCGCGAATGACGGAAGCAGGGAGAGATGATGGGGGAAGAGAAAGATAAACGACGAGAAGACAGGAGAGAAGAGAGGATAGGAAAGGAGGGGAGGACGGGAGGATAGGGAAGGGAGGACGGGAGGAGAGGAAAGGAGGGGAGGACGGGAGGATTGGGAAGGAGGGGAGCACGGGAGGATAGGAAAGGAGGGGAGGAAGGACTGGAGGATATGAAAGGAGGGAAGGACGGGAGGATAGGAAAGGAGGAGAGGACGAGAGATCCAGAGAATAGGAGAGGAAGAGAGGATGAGAGGATAGGAGAGAGGACGACAGGAGAAGAGTGGAGAGGACGACATGATAGGAGAGGAGAGGACGACATGATAGAAGAGGAGGACGAGAGGATAGAAGAGGAGAGAGGACGAGAGGATAGACGAGAAGAGAAAGAGAGGATATGAAAGGAGAGGACGTGAGGATAGGAAAGGAGGAGAGGACGAGAGGATAGGAAAGGAGGAGAGGACGAGGATAGGAAAGGAGGAGAGGACGAGGATAGGAAAGGAGGAGAGGACGAGAAGATAGAAAAGGAGGAGAGGACGAGAGGATAGGGGAGGACGAGAGGAAAGCGGAAAGCGGAAAAAAGGAGTCTTCGAGGAATGGAAGAGAATAATGAGGGAGAAAGGAGAGAAGGGCAGGCGCTAAAAAGGAGAGGAGAGGGGAGATGAAGAGAGGCGCGGCTTACGTGATCCAGGTAGCGTCAGTGGAGACGAGAGCAACGGCGGGTCTCTTGACGCGCTTGGCGATCTCGGGGAACTCCTCGAGGAACTTGGGCTCGAAGACGAGCCAGAAGTTCTGCTCCATGCCCTTCTCGTGCAGCCACCGTAGCCGCTCCTTGAGCTGCTCCTGAAAGTGCTCCTCCTCGTCCAGCATGAACGTCGCGTTCGCCACCACGAAGTGGTACTTGACGCCCGCCTGCACTCGCGCGGGACGCGGAGGGATACGCGGAGGGATACGCGTATGCGTGGGAAACGAAGCGAAGCGAAGCGATGCGAGGCTAACGTGGTGTGAGTATTGCAGACAGAACACGAGTTTCAGTGTCTAACTAGGTACGACTTTGAGGGCTTGGACGGGTGGACGAATGTAGAAAGGACATTTGTTGGCAATGAAAAATCTACTATCGAAACAAAGGAGACTGGTTTACGAAGCGGCGGGCCCGTGCAATGCGGGCACCTCACAACTGGTCAGGACAGGTCAGGGCAGGTTAAGACTGATTTACCTCGTCAGCAGATCCTGCTGATGCCTTCACCGCTACGGAGGGTGCAGACACGCGGGGAGCGGCCTGCACCTGCGCGCTGGCACTGAGCACCACCGGTCTGGCGACGCGCGCCTTCCTCCATGATGCCACGAGCGACGCCTCTTGTCGCTGCGGCCTGACAGCAGGGCTGGAATTTGCTGGTGCGGCGCAGGCGACGTTCAGCCTCGCGACGGAAGTCGCTTGAGCCATTGTTCAAAGCAAATGTGGGAAGATCCCCAAGAATTGAGAGATCGCTAAGTCAGCTTCCCAAGTGCAGGAAGACGAAGCTCAAGGTCGGATGGTGGGTTTGGCTAGCTGATAGGGTTCACATCGGAAAACATCCAACTTCCGAAATCAAGTTGAACGGAAGTTGGATCATACTCATGTGTTTCGGAGGGTGTAGGTTGAGTTGAAAGAAAATCGAATGTGCATTGCTGGACAGTTACGATTGGTCGGAACTCAATTTCGAGTCACGCATTCTTTCATCTTGTTTGGCATGTGCTGGCAGGTCTGGCGCAGGCATGGGTGAGAATACCAGGTTCGGGTGTGAAGCTTCGTACATAAGTTGCTGCGATGTTTGTTACTTGGCAGGTGGAACTGTTAAACAGAGGTAAAAATAGTATTTGCTTTAAATCCTTAAGTTCCCATTATTGGAGACAAATTCCTTGCACATGTTTCGTGTTTGAAATTTTAGTAACGTATGTGAGGAAATACAAATTTTTCTCGTTTTCAGCACTGGTTCTGCTGGTAGGTCTTGTTAGAATCCATAAAGTCGCTAGAGTAGCGGAAATACTCTAGGAAGATGACGACGTCCCTGCAGCGGGGCAATTGGCCACTCAGAGGTAGCACTTCTGGCCTGGCACATGGTGCCGTTGCGGCGGCCGAGGGAAAGCCGGACACAAGGATTCAAATTGTGTAATAAGAACAATGCAATACATTCAGTAATATAGGAAACATGGCAGGCAGACTGTTACCAAGGCGCAACTGTATTACAGTTGCGCTGTAACGCTTCAGTTTGTCAAACTATAATCATGCTTGTGCTGTGTAGGCTGTAGTGGGGTAGCCCATAAGGGGTACAACCCAAATTAGGGTTAGCATTTGTACCCACTGTGAGAAATGACGAGAGTGGTTTGACTAGGAATCAGGAGGGTACAAGTAGAAAACCTAGAAGTGTTGTACCCTATAGTGTCTACCCCACAATAGCCTACATAGACTATATCATATATATGTTTGACACACCCCCATAGGCAAAGTGGGGGAGAACAAGGGGTCACAAGACCAGTCAACCAAAGCGATGCAAAGTAAGCTCAGGGCGGATCACGAAGTCACCACACATTCCGAGCACAGGTTCAAAGGCCACAAGGCCAGTTCACATGCAGGATTATATATAAAGGGAAACATGCAGGTGCAGGTATTTATAGATCACAGTACAAAGCAAAGTCAAGAGGTAAGCAGGTGAGGCCAGGTAGGCACAAGACCTAACATCGTACAGAAGCGCTGATGATCACAAGGCTGAAGTGCCTTGGTGAAGATATCAGCAGTGTTGGCCTGAGAGGCCACGTAAACAAGGCCCAGCTGACCACGCTGCTGCAGCTCACGAGCAAGGAAGTAGCGAAGAGCAATGTGCTTCGTTCTGTGCTCCAGTCTGTGCTCTCGACACAAGGCCAGCATGGCCTTGTTGTCTACGTACAGAACTGGAGGAGAACGAGACGGCTCTCCCAGGCCAGTCAGCAGGTAGGTGAGCCAGCGTAACTCCTGTGCAGCCATGGCTCCTGCGTAGATCTCAGCCTCACAGCTGGAGCTGAGAACAGACGACGAGCGGGTAGACCGCCACGAAACAGAGCCGGAACCAAGGCTGAAGGTGTAACCCTGTGACGACCGCTGCGTAGCCAGGTCGTCAACCCAAGACGCGTCTGCGTGACCAGTGAGGACCACTGGACTCTGCCCTCCAAGCACGAGCCCCATGCCCGACGTACTGCACAAGTAGTGCTGTCAGAATGAACGGACTGGAATGGTGGACTAACAAGGATTGTGAGTACAAATATGAAACCCTAATGTTGTGACCCCCCCTATAGGCTAACCCACTACAGCCTACACAAATACAACATGTATAATGTTTGACACACCCCCATAGGCAAAGTGGGGGAGACCTAGGGGTCACAAGACCAGTCAAGGCAAAGCAAGGCAACAACAAGCTCAGGGTGGATCTCAAGGATTCCACACAAATTCCGAGCGCAAGCTAGTGGTCACAAGACCAGTTCACATGCAGGTTTATAACAGAGCAAGAGATACAGTGATCACAACCTAGCAAGAGTAAACATGCAGGTATAGATATATATAGTGATCACAGTACAAGCAAGTCAAGAGGTAAGTAAGTGAGGTCCAGTAGGCACAAGGCCTAGTAGAGTGCAGAAGCGCTGATGGTCACGAGGCTGAAGCGCCTTGGTGAACACATCAGCAGTGTTGGCCTCAGTGGCCACGTAGCGAATACAAAGCTGACCGCGCTGCTGCAGCTCTCGAGCAAGGAAGTACCGCAGGGCGATGTGCTTCGTTCTGTGCTCCAGTCTGTGCTCCTCACACAAGGCAATGGCAGCCTTGTTGTCGACGTACAGTACTGGAGGAGAACGAGGCCGCTCTCCGAGGTCGGTCAGCAGGTAGGTCAGCCAGCGTAGCTCCTGGGCAGCCATGGCTGTAGCGTAGATCTCAGCCTCGCAACTAGAGCCGAGAACAGAAGAAGAACGTGTAGAGCGCCAAGAAACTGAGCCAGAGCCAAGGCTGAAGGTGTAACCCTGAGACGACCGCTGAGTGGCCTGGTCGTCTGCCCAAGAAGCGTCTGAGTGCCCTGTGAGAACAACTCGGTCTCGCCCTCCAAGCACAAGCCCCATGCCCGACGTACTGCACAAGTAGCGCAACACCCTCTTAGCGGCATCCATGTGCTCCTTCCTGTGACGGCCAGGAGCGACATAGCGTGCAAGGATGCTAAGAGGGTATGCAAGGTCAGGTCGAGTGCAGGTCATCAGGTACATGAGGCAGCCCACAAGCTCTGGATATGGGCCACTCGGCTCTACGGACTCATCCGAAGGCAGAGCTGAGAGCGAGTGACCGGTAGGCAGAGGAGTGGACTGAGGCGAGGAGTACGTGAAGCGGAAGCGCTGGAGAACCTGCTGCACCATGTGTGACTGAGTCAGGGTGATGGTGCGCCGTGCTCTGTCCCGGGTGATCCGCAAGCCAAGATAGCTTGTCAGCTCACCCAGGTCTGTGCACGTGTGTCTCCTCTGCAGCTCCGACTTTACGTAGGCGAGTCCTGCAGTGTCAGCAGTGGCAAAGACCAAGTCGTCGACGTACACGAGGATGTAGAACGGCGGCAGCGAAGTGTCGGTGCGCAGGAACAGCGACGGGTCAGCTGTAGAAGGCGCGAACCCAAGGGCCGCAAGTGTAGTCCTCAGTGTGTCGTGCCACTCACGCGGAGCCTGGCGGAGACCGTAGACCGGCCGCTGAAGCCTCCACTGGGTACCAGGAGGAAACGACCCAGTGAAGCCAGGTGGGCGGCGCAGCCAGATCTCCTCGTGCAGGCTGCCCTGCAAGAAAGCAGTGCTGAAGTCAAGTGAGTGAAGCTCGTAGTCGCGGTGAGCGGCTATGTGCAGCAGCACCCGAAGAGTAGTCATCTTCGGGATGGGGGAGAAGGTCTGGAAGAAGTCAACTCCCTCTCGCTGACTGAAGCCTCAAGCCACGTAACGCGCCTTGAAGACAGACGGAGAACCCGGCGGCCGCTTCACCCTGAAAATCCACATGCCACTGACGATGTTCGCCCCAGGAGGGGGAACCTCGTCGACGTAGGTGCGTGTGGACTTCCAGGAAGCCATCTCGGCGTCCATGGCTGTCTGCCACTGAGAGGAGTAGGGACCCGCCATCGCCTCAGCGTAAGTGCGCGGGGTCGGGATGTCTGGTGCATCCGGGTCTCCCTCAGGGGCAACTAGCAAGGACACGAGACGGGGCAAAGCAGCAGCAAGACACTGGAACTCCTCCTGTCTGTCCTCAAGGACGTCCGTGCCAAGAGCACACTCACCCCCGACGGACGGAGGACAGACAGACTCAGACTCAGCAACAAGGCTAGCAGCGTAGTCTAGACGACAGGCAGCAGCAAAGTCAACCAACTCAGCGACCAGAGCAGACGCAGACGAGGACTCAAAGGTAGGGTCAGTGACAACAGTAGCGAGGAGACGCGTGACAGTAGGGTGCTCAGCACGATACCGGTCAGACTCAGGGTCCGGAACGTCAGGCAAAGAGGACGCAGGAGGAGACGGTAGAGGGACACGCTGAGGAGCAGTAGAGGGACGTAGAGTCATGTAGTGAGTGCCTGGGACAGGAGGAGGACGCTCACGACGGACACGACTACCAGTGCGAGCAGGACGAACAGGCGACGCAGGACGAGACTCAGGCTCACGACGCTCTGTAAGACCTCCTGTGGGACCAGTGTAAGGAGAGGGAGCAGGGAGAGGCGAGGTAGGCGGTAACTGTGACTGCGGCTGGACAGGCGGAGGACACTCTACGGAGGGAGGAGGACAAGGAGGAGGAGCCTGCCCAAGAACCTGCTGAAGGAGCGGTACGAAGTACGGTCGCGGCCGCGCAGCGTCTCCAGAAGCAGAAGAGACTCCAGCGGCCGGGTCCTCAGTACCAGTAGGAGCTCCAGCGTCCGGGTCCACAGCACCAGCAGCAGCTCCACCGGCCGGGTCCTCAGCACCAGTAGTAGCTCCAACGCCCGGGTCCTCAGCAGCAGCAGCAGCGCCACCGCTCGGGTCCTCAGCTCCAGCAGCAGCTCCACCGTCCGAGTCCTCAGCACCAGTAGCAGCTCCAACGTCCGGGTCCTCAGCACCAGCAGCAGCGCCACCGCCCGGGTCCTCAGCTCCAGTAGTAGCTCCAACGTCCGAGTCCTCAGCACCAGCAGCAGCTCCACCAGGCGGGTCCGCAGCACCAGCAGCAGCTCCAACGTCCGGGTCCTCAGCACCAGCAGCAGCGCCACCCCCAGGGTCCGCAGCACCAGGAGCACCACTCCGAAGACTGCAGCGCCGTGTGTACCACTCGCGGATCTGCTGAATGGGGGGGAGCTCCTGGGTAGGAGGGGAAGTACCGGGACGAGCTCCAGGAGCACCTCTCCGGAGGCGGCAGTACTCGAGGTACCTCTCCTGCAGCTGCTGGGAGGAGAGGGCTCCTCCAGGTGTAGCACGCTCAGGCTCAGCACCCCCAGACTCAGCACCCCCAGACTCAGCACCCCCAGGCTCCGCACCTCCAGGCTCCGCACCTCCAGGCTCAGCACCCCCAGGCTCCGCACCCCCAGACCCAGCACTCCCAGGCTCAGCACCCCCAGACGCAGCACCCCCA